CAAACTTGAAATGGTGTTTTGCTGTGGATTTTCAAAACCACTGAATTTTAAATGATGCAAATGAGAATAAAATAATTAACAAACAATGGGTTTCTTAGTAACTTTCTAAAAACTAACATTTTAGCCATATAATCAATACAGCAATGCATTGTCCAAAATATTTTAGTAGGTTCAAATTGTTATTAACAGTAATCAAACACTGAAATCTGAATATAGGATTGATATTTTACATCATTCTATATCTCTTCATGTTGTGGACAGCTGTACATATTTCTGTACATATTTATGCATTTTATATCATTTATGATAAACTGGTAATGGATCCTATTCATATACTTTTGCTACTTTATTGGTAAAATTTTTTATGGTTCTATATCATAAATATGATGCTCAAATTAAGATTTATCAATATGTGAGGTCCAAAAGCATTATTTAAAAAAATTACGAAATTTACATTTCATGTAAATAAAGGGAGGTAATAAGAAATTTATTTTCGATAAAGTCTAAGCCTTACAATAAGCTTTGAGCTTCCAAATCATGATTTTGTATAAATTTTGTGTTTGATTTGTAGTTTTGTAACTTGATAGAAAATAAATATGTTTTAAACCAAAGTCTAAGCCATTTTTTTCACATATATTTCAATGATTACTTATAATGCTTGCAAACATTTGCAGTACACATTTAACATACTCTTTGATGTTTGGAAATGGTTTTTGAAGAATAATTATATACATGATATAAAATTTCACTTAAATGTTGTTACAACCTTTATTACAACAGACAAGATCTTTAATTTATTGATTAAATATAACTGTCTAATGGACTCATGATAGAGAACCCTGCCTATATGGCTTATCAGTAGCTACAGACTACAGTCAAACAAATGCTGATAGATTTATGCTGATTCATTATATATATTATACAAATACACAATGTTCTACCTAAACACTGATCATGATAATGCACATTATGATAATCATCTTATTTATAAATGCCCAATTATCACTAAGGCACAATGATGCATTTGTATGGGCTGAATTATTTTGTGCTTACAGTATTAGCATGTGGGCATACCATAGATAATTATATTTGGCCAGATTTCATTAACAAAGTTCTCCAATTAACAGCATTTTGCATAATTAAGCAATTTACCCAGTTTCCAAAAGCCATGAAATTTTTGTGTGTTTACTGCATGATTAATAAAAGAAATGAGAGATGAGCATTTCCAGAAACTGATGCAGAGTTTTTACACCAATATTGTAGCCACAGGTAGACATTAAATGTCAGTCTATAAGCTGGTCTTTTACTGTTACCAGACATGGAACATAGTTCAGCTTTTTTTTGTCTTTTCTGACACCAAACATCATAAACACTAGGTATTGTTTCCACAGATGATTTTCATCAAGGAATCACAGAAGAAAAAAATATATCAAGGAAACAGCGAGAAATAAATCCAGGTGTGGGAGTGGAAATGATAAAACACTCTATCTACATATACACATACCTATATTACATTATAATATAGTGCTTTCTGCCAGATAAAAGATTTATCAATATACAGACACACAGCAGCAAGACTTCAAATGTATTTTTTATACATATATTATGTTGCATAACTTATTTTTTTGCATAAGTTTCATGATTAATTTCAGCATGATATTAATTATATAATGTATTTGTTGTTACTTTTTACTCCTGAAAAACTGATATTCTGTACAAAACTAAACTGTTAAACTTCACCATAAAATAAATTAATCTATTTTATTTTACAAAAGCCTTATATTTAGCTAGACCTGTACCTTGAGATAAAACTATAGAAAAGATTTCTTTTTTTTACTGACGTTTGTGATATAAATTTTATCTTCAACAAATTTTGTGTGATATATTAGCTATAATGTGAAAGAACTACTGAGACCTCAGGCGCTTTATTGATACCTCAGGCACTATATTGATACAGACTGATATCAGACCAGTATGAATATGCAGAAGTGTCTTTCTGATACCATTCTGAACACTACAAAAAAAGAAGCATTATTATTCGAGTGTTTGGCACCGCGTTTCCTAAGAGGCTTTTGTAAGATTATCAAGGATAAATAAATCAACATAAAAACAGCCAACAAAACTCTTGTTTATCTTGGAAAGTACATCACAAGGAATCTGAACATTTTCCTGCTTTATAAGATTATTTATGTCTTTTTACTAAATGTTTTTATATTATCTTTCCAGAAGAACTGAACAGTTTTATTATCATAATCATGGTGGAATCACTAGATAACTTTACATTGCTCTATTATTATTGAAATGCAAAAAATATACCAATTTTTTTTTCAATTGCTTAAAATTTTCATTCTTAATATCATCAGTATTGTTATCTACTAGTATATTATGAGTATGCTACAGTATTTTAAAACTGAATCAAGTACTAAGTATTAGAAATAGTTATCAATGTTCAGTCCCCACCCTTAGTAACCTCAGAGTGATGTTCAGTCCCCACCCTTAGTAACCTCCAAGTCCCTCTTTTAGCCCCTACTTCCTTAAACAATTGCAAGAAGACAAATGACATCACTGTAATATACATAATATAATACATATGTGTAATAATTATGTTCTGTTCTGTTCTGTTATTCAGTGGTCACAAAGAGGGTACTTAAAGTAACTATCAATTCAAACCATCATATTGTATATTTATATTGGCAAGTATCTTATTGTCTTATTGTCTCACAGTGCTCCTGTGAGAGTACACTTCATGATTCCAGCACTTATTATTGTTTCCTGGTCCTATCTAAACGGCTTATTTGTGGATTATATTATATAGATAAAACAACATTATTATAAAATGATTGTTCTTATGAATATCAATATTTTCTTTGAAGCAACTCGAAAAATCATGCTGTTTAAATCATGGTATAAAATACTCCCCTATAATAGGTAGATGTTAATTACAGAAATTACATTTGAGAGTTCTTTTAAGTTTGGTGTTCCATTCTGTTATTCAGTGCAGTTAGTCAGTGTTTTTTCCTGTGATGTGCCAAAGTAATATGCCAAAGATTACCATGAAGTGGGAGAGACTTTATTACACAAAAGAACATAAATTGTGATGTTATAGTCATAAAGAAAAAGGAAATATCTCATTACTTTTTTTAGAAATTATCCAAGTTTCCTGTAAATAAGTATTGAGTTAAAGAACAAAAAAACTTATCTCAGAAATCTTTACTGGAGGAAACAATTACAGTTTAGAATTAAATATTTTTTGAAAGAAACTTCAAAATATAAACATTAAGCATTTAATGATGATAGAAAGCTAAGAGAGCAAGTCAACTCTGGCTGCGTATCTGCCCTTTTGTTGGCTACTTATTTTTAACCCTGATCATGCTGAATATTTTAAATGGACTTGTCCCACTTCCATTTTATGGACTGTCCATTATCAATTTTAGGGATATCAATTTGAATATTTAAAATTTGTCAGCCAACAGTATAGAGCCTGGTCAGACAGCATGGATAATGCAGGGTGGCCTGGCTACATACTGGTGGCAAAAGTTTAACACTTTCTGGTCCAGCACATAAAAGGTTGATAACACAAGGATTATTTAATTCCTTGAAATTATTGTCTTGGTTGGTTCAAATCCATAGCAGGCCATAATGTCTATTGGTTACAAATATATTTTTATTGGTTACAAATAATCTAATTCAGCAGGATATTAAAAGACATTATTTGTTAAAAAGGACTAACAGTCACTTTCAGGTCAACCAATTTTTCCATGCACTATTATAAACCTGTCAAACATACAGTATTTCATCAAATATAAGTGCTGAGACTTTTGCATATCATCATTTGAAACAAATGAAAACAATATCAATTTTGATCTCATTAATTACAAAGACCAAGATTTGTATATGGTAATTCCAAAACAAGCATTTCATTGCAGAATGAATTAAAGCATCTTTTATTTCATTGTAAAGAAGGTCAGCAGTAACTGTTATTTTGTTCTCAAAGAGTTTCTAAAAAAGTGAAAAATCCTTTATGAGCACTTTCTCTAAATATTTCTTTGCACTTTATAATAATATCTTTTCTCTAGGAGGATAGTAACAGATGCTTTATAACCAGTAATTTAATCAAGCACTGTGGTGGAGTGATTTAGTTAGCTTCCACAGAAATCACAGGAATTTTTCCTGCAAAATTCCCCCCTGCTCCATCAATAACCAACTACAGATAAACAATAAACTGATCAATCCCAATTTAAGTAATTTTGTTTATGCTTATATAAATGCTCTCACAAAACCAGACAAATTTCTTACTGAACAAAAGCTACTTGGTGTCATTTGAAGTCTTAACATTATCTGCATTATATCTGCAATATCTAAAATACATCCAAAAAAAAATGCTATACAATGTAAATATAAGAATCGGTTTGCTTCAATAATTAGATATACACAGGAGAGCCATACTGGCCCTACATTGCTCACCAGAATACTCATTGGGTTTTGGAACTTGTTTAAATGTATCTTTTTCCATGACACTTTAAGTGCTAACATTTAATCAAAGAGAAATACAGCTACAAAATGCCTGTTAAGTGTACTGTGACTGTTCCAAGATTTTCAATCTTAAAGCTCTGGTGGATCCTTATAGGGACCACTTAGGCAATTAAGTAAGGTGTTCTAAATTGTCACCAAGATTGGTGATGATTAAGATATTATTAACAGAATATCATTTAGGTCTGGTGGCACCTAAAAATGGTCCAGCTAATTAAATTTGACTGTATCTTTTACAAATTCTGTAGACATTCGAATGACATAAGTAAAATTAATATTCAAGATCAAAAGATGCCTCACAGCAAATTTAACATAGATCTGTAGATTATTTATGGGACAACAGAGCAAGATACCCCATCTTGGACTTTTAGTTCTGGCTAGCTTTGAAAAGGTCACATTACAATATACTTTAGTAGGATAAAGGAAGACATGCATGTGTTAACCATTGGATGGTTGCCTAAGTAACTTACTGTGGAATCCTGGGACGATGATGTCACCATTTCCTGCAAAGCCCTCACCGAAAGTGCTTGCTCCAATACAAACACGCAAACTGATATGTCCGGTGGAACATCCTGCAAAGAAAAAATACCAAAAACTTTTAAGATAAACTTTTTTAAATTATATATAAAGTCATGTATCGTTTTGTTTAGGGATGTTTTTATGCATATTGAATGCTGAATATTTCAAAGCTGCTCTTCATAATGCATCAGGAAACCCAAGATTACCTTTGTGGACAATATCTCATTTATTGAATTACTGTAAGTAAGATCTAAATCACACTTTCTTGTTACAATGGCTGACAGGATGATAGCTTTATGCCATACCATTATGATCAGCATCCTTGAAGAAAACTGTATAAACCAATAGTACTATACTAAATTATTCATTTCTGTAGGCCATAAAACATAACTATGACATTCATACTGAAGCTTATGATTCAGTTTGCTCCATGAGCATGGCAAACTCAGTAAATGCATCAATATTTAAAGAATGGCAATTTACATTGATGAATAGACCTATAACACTTCAAATCTAGTTTAAGGGTATGTTTTCCTCCAGACTGACTTTAACCAACTTTTACTGCCACTGTGTCTAAAATACTGGAGAGCAACAATGAATAGTTTAAGCCTTAAAATGAGGTAAATAATATTTTAATACCATTGCAGGAACAAAGACAGATATGATTTTTCGTCACAATCTTCACATAACTGTTCAATTATTCACCTAGCATAGACTGACAACTTAGACATACAAAATTAATGTCTGACTTCCTTATATAAAATACATAGATTTAAAAGGGAAAAAATCAATCTAAAGAAATTAAACTAGACCTATCAAAAAAGCATATTAAAAAACTATAATTCCTACTGATAGTCTGTTTCTAAGCAACTGAAGAAAAGAACAGATAAACATATATGAGCCATGCCATGACAAAACCAACATAATGGGTTTGCGACCAGCATGGATCCAGACCAGCCTGCGCATCCGCGCAGTCTGATCAGGATCCATGCTGTTCGCTTACAAACCCTATTACAAGTAGAGAAACTGATAGCGAACAGCATGGATCCTGATCAGACTGCGCGGATGCGCAGGCTGGTCTGGATCCATGCTGGTTGCAAATGCATAACGTTGGTTTTGTCGTGACGCGGCTCATATATCCAAATGGTAATTAATTTGATTGGTTATTTTAAATTTCTACAATAAAAAAGATGCTTTTTTAAAACAAATATAAAAGATTAATCTATCAGATCTAGAATTATGACAAAATAAGGAAAATGTTGTTCTTTAGATAACCCTTTCATGTTGACGGAAATAAAGTAAAAATATGTTAGCTATGACAGGAAGCTATGACAGGCTAGAATAATTGGCCAGACGGATATGACATCTACAAAGTCCTCATTCAAATGACCAGCTGACAAGAAATGAACGAGGGAGATCTTCTACAGAAAAATAATTCAATCTTGCAGACGATGATAGGCAGTCTCTTGGGGGACAAAAACCAGACAATATATAAGAAGGAAGAAAACAATAAGCATTGTATTGGAAACTTCTCACTCTGTTTGTACTTAATTTGTATTTCCTCTCTTATTGGCGACGCCGGTGAGCGGCGTCGTCTTTTCTGGAATACTTTTTATTTTGGCCTATGGAAGGAGCTGTTATTATTAGCAGTTAATTTCATGTTGTGTTAATTATATTTATTTTGATTCGTAAAAATCAAGTAAACAAATATGTTGTTATATTTGTATTTAATAACTTTATATAAAAAGCATGTGCATTGTGATATTATTTTCACGAAATTGCAGGCTCAGATTAACAGCTTGTCCCTTTGTTTTATTGACAATACTAAAACCCGGATTTCGAATATCGTTGTGGTCTACATTGATGCTCATTCATTTTATATATTTTCAAAACTTTCCTACAAGAAGAAAGTTCACCTTCAAATGAGTATTAGGATAGGTAATGGACTGTTGTAAACGATTATCCTATTGATTTTATCCATATTACGTTTATCTGTTGAACAGAATGGTTGTTTTTACAAAGTGTACCAGTATCCGGATGTTGACAGCTATCCGATTTTCTGCAATTACTGCTGTCACATGGCCATCTACTTTTTTATGAATACTTTACCATTAATTTGCATGGCATAATTAAAATGAGCCTGCAACATTTATTAATTTTGATGTTTAGGGTGTTCTTTTGGGTTTCATGTTTTTCTTTATTTCAAGGGGAAGTAACTCATGTTTACTAAATTATTTGTTCTTTTCTGTCTATCTTAGGTATTGATTACAATTTTTGTTTTATAAAATTTACCAGTTGTAAGGTCATCAAAAGCATAGAGGCCCTGATGAGTGAATATTGATATATATATACTTTTACTGGCTTTATATACCCAATATTTCATATTTATTTAATAGAAACTTTGAATTATTAATGTTATGTGCATACATTTATATCTTAGTATATTGGTATGATGAGACTTATAATATTTCTGAATTTAAAGAGTTGCAGTTATGTCATTATTATTAAAGAGATGAGACTTTCATTTAAAGTTATAAATGATAATACATGTATTGATTGAAAATGTCCTGAAACTTGGATCAAGCAATATAATTGATAAAGCCTCAAAAAATCATGTTCTGAATAGTTATTCTAATTTTTTTCTAACATGTGCATAGTTTGAAAAGGACAGCTTCTGCCAGTTATCTATTTGTAATGGAGGGACACCGGTCTCAATCTCCAGGTCTCCTGAGTCAACCCGACAACAGACTTTTCATAGAGTAGATTGATACTTGTCCTTGAATAAATTTGTACACTAAATTTTATAGTGGGTGATTTGTGCCACATGAAAACCAACAAAGTACAAAAAGTAACCGGGCGCCAGATGAAAACATGAAAATACAATCTACCACAAAGTGGTTCATTTGTTGCATTTTCATGTTTTTGCCCGGTGCCATTGATGTAAAATACAAATCAGCCTTCATAAAATTTCTTATCATAGATATTGTATATGTATTAGCACAGTTATATTCTCTTTCAAATTGACCTGTTATAAATAATGGCACAACCAATAACTGTCTTAGCCCTTTTTAGTAAAAATAATTATACAATAATAATTATATAAATTGTTATTTTAATTAAGACTATGAGTATGTAAGGTTTTTTTTTCTTATTTATTAATTAAGAATTAATTATCTGTTAATTTAAAAATCTAAATATCTGTCACGGTTTAGAACTGTTCACTATTTAGGGGAGAAAATGTGTAAGCGACCAGATAGCTCAATCGCTACAGCCGCGGTACATTATTCTGTGGGTCACAGGTTTGAGTTCTGGTCAAGCTGAAAGTTTTTCTCATCCTGTTACTGCAAATAACCATGAGTTTAATTCACTATGCTCTGTAAACATCAGAAATTCAAGTACATGAATCAATATAGTGGGGGAAAAGGTTTAGGTTTAGAACTGTTTCATTATTGAAGAGAAAAATGTGTAGCCGCCCGATAGCTCAGTTGGTCTTCTGAAAGTCATGGGTTCGAGTCATGATCAGGCAGTTTTTCAGTCAGGGTTTAGAATGGTTTTTCAACTGACACAGTCATGTTTGATTCATTTAATAGATTGCATTTAATTTGAAATGGACAAAGGCAGTTTGCTTGATACTTTTAAATCTACAAAAAGCATTTGGTACAGTTGATCACACTAAACTGCACATGAAAGCAAGTTCTTTTTTCTTCTTCTTCATCTCTTCAAGCATCTGCCATATGTAATGACATTCTTGCATGGTTCAAGTCTTATCTATGATAGCAGCTGGTGAATGTGGCTGGTACTCCTTCTCTCTGAATACCTATGGTGTCCCCCTGATGTTCATTTTAGTCCTCTTTTATGTATGACATGTCTGCAACCCTAAGCAATAAGCTTTTATTATATGCACAGCACAAGTATCAGACCTGGGAAGAAAAAATATTACCAGATTGATAAAAAAAACCTGTGTTCATCTTAAAAGTGTCACAAAACCAAAAAAAAATGTAAATGATGACCCCTTTAAAAATATACTTTAAGTTAATAGTATATTTTTAAAGGGGTCATTATTTACATTTTTTTTTTTTTTGACACTTTTAAGATGAACACAGATTTTTTATTAATCTGGTCATATTTTTTCTTCCCAGGTGTGATACTTGTGCCTGTCATTATATGATGATGACTCAGGTATCCTTGTATCTGGTAAAGTAAATCTTAAGATTGGTTTATTGACTATAAATTGTCTTTGCATCTTGGCAAGACAGAGTCTATTCTTTTTGGTTTAAGTTTCAACATAAACTGGGCCAAGCCTCCAGGTCACATGAAATGGTACTGCTATAAAGTACACATCTTTTGTTAAGTATTTAGGTGCAAACCTGGATCAAATTCTTTTGGCGTCGCCCTTTGATGCTTTGCATCAATGCTTTTCTTGTTCAATTTGTATTTATATGTAACAGGAAATTACTGAGTTTCTTTCCAGCATACAATTTGTCTGTTATAGCATGAGCAGTTTGGAGAGAGTGTAGAATTAAGTATGGATGTTCATCCAGTGACTGTCAAACATCAATGGACAGTGTACCAGTCCAGCAAACTGCATAAAAATAAGAGATTAGCATCTGTCATAGACCCTTTAACCTTTTTCCTGCAAATCATAATAAAAATTGTCAGTTCTTGTTAGTTGTTAAAACACTGATATCCAAGCAGCCCAAGTATATTGAGACTGAATAGACTGAAAGGGATGTCCACACTGGCTTGGCTCTTCAGAATGGTAGGGAAGGTTGGTCATTATTTATGGTTAATAGAGCACAAAAATCTCAGCACTAAGGTTACTCTGATAGATACAGTACAACTTGTTTGTACTACAGTTATACAACTTAAATTTGTTTGAACAGTTTGTTTGCCTGATTTTTATATTGATTTCAACACATTTTGCTCATAACTCAGCACTGTCTTTCCTACCCAGTAATTACCAATTTCTCCCGCAAGTGACCACCTATTAACTTCACATGATTTCTAGATCATCATTGAGAGACAAATGACCATGTGACTAAATGTACCAAGATCAAATTATTATGGAAAAATCTCTTCTAACCTGAGGATCAAACAGTGACCTCTGGATTATAAATCCAATGCTCTCCCTACTGAGCTAAACAGGCAGACAGCAACATCCTTTGGAAGACAAAGACTTTTGTTGTTGCTGGTGAGATTATATTTATTGTGAAGTTTTACTTTGGAAAGAATTGCTGTTGCAAAGAGATTATTGCTCTACAATCATGAAGATTGTTCTGTACATCAGAATATCTGACAATGCTTATGACCATATAGCTTCAGTAATGGTAAGCTGCTTCGATAATATTTGAAACATTCAACAGAAAATGTGTGCATTCCATTTTAAAAAAAAATAAAATTTCATTTCTATAGCATGTCTTTCATAGGATTGGTTAAAATTTGAATAGTTACAATACATAATACATTTTGACAAAATGTACATTACATAAAGGAAAATGGACATAAAACAGTAAATTTGTATACACAGAGACAAGCAAAAATGCTTGAAAAGAATAAAAGAGTAGAACTTGCAGTCTCAATCAAACCAAATATCTGTAATTTTCATCTATAAATTTTTATTTTTATTGCTCTCAAAGAATTTACCCCTTTCACAGCAACATTTTTACTCTTTTGAACCAGACATAGCACAGTTTCCATTTCAGAACGTAAGTGGTATAACATTATTGTCAAATGAATTGTACACTTTGTCATCAAAAGCAAACAGTTCCATTAACCTTAACATGATAAATGACATCAAAGTGAGGAACAACTAGCCTGCAGCAGAAACAGGGCACATACAGGAAGTATTTCCATTAAGCACAACAGGAAATTGTTTCTCCGCTAGTTTCCTGAAAGGAGCAATAGTCAATATTGTATTTGATAACACGGATCCATATATTTTCTCCAATGGAACAATTGAACCAGCATTCTGAACCATATTTCACGTATGGTTTTTAATTTGATAGAAAGCAAAACACCAAAGTTATTTATGACTATTTGAGGAAAAAACAATAGAATGATACTGAAAATGGTACATGTACTAAAAAGGTGCATCATTAATTGTGTTGAATTCAATAGTTATAAATACAAGAATTTTTAACATTGATCTGTTTACATTTTACTATTAATTCTAGGTAACCAGTTTGAATTCTAATTAACCCATAGCCTGCTGGCAGCAAATGAATCTACCATGTGACCAAAGCAAACCAAGATCTGCCAGCATATCCTGCACAAAACAATGTATACCTTTGATGAATCATAATACATTTTTGTAAAGGTATGTAATGTATCTTGATTGGGATTAAAGTCTTTTGAAAATTTATATGGTAATACTATCCCAAATAATCCAGTTAGGTAACAAAATCTCAACCATATAAATACATACAAATAATTAACCAAAAAACCTCATTATATTTTTTTATATCATTTGTTACAAAATGCAAATTAGAGACATTGCATTATTATCATTAGTAATAACTGTGGCTTTTAAACAAAAAAACATTTTAAGACTTTTTACAGTATAATTATGACAAGAAAGTATTCAATGCAGTGTTGTTATACAAAGGAATTACAGAACAAATTTCAACAGCACAACTCCAGGTTATTTAACTTTTTAGGAGACAAAAAAGTTGAGGAAAATGGCGACAAAAAAGACAGTCGACATGTGATGCAGGGAACGAAAATTTCTGGAACAAATCAATACACTGAAGACAGTGCCATTCTATCAAAGAGTCAGATTTAATCAATGAAAGATGTCCTCCTTATAATTTTTCACGTCTTTTTTATGGTGTCTGGATATATATACTGAATTCCTGCAGGGAGAGAAGAAACCAACAGTGCAAACAGCAAACACAATGCCATTATAAAACTTCATTACTTGTACTTATTGATATGCTAAATAACTATTGCTGACTTACTATTGAGGTATAAACAAAGTTAAGAAGTTTTCTTGAAACCAATAACCATGTCAACACTTCCCTAGCAACATGTGAGCTTTTGGTATTTAAATCCAAAACCCTGATCCATTACTAAAAGATTCAACAAAATTAAACATTTTACTATCCAAGGATTTTATTTTTATTTAAACCCTTGCAAGCTAAATATCTTTTATGTCTGTCTTTCAATCTGGATCTTTGCTATAGCCAGCTTTTGCAATCTTGCAAGTCTCTTTTCTGTTGACTTCTTTTCTGAATTAACCCTTACTACACAAGAATTGCCTGTCTTTCAACTGGACTTTACCATTAATAACATTCTGGGGAAATTTCAAAATATGTAAATGACTGAATAGCAAACATTGCAGACGATGATCAGAAGACATATTAAGGACCGGCTGATCTTGGTCTGCGCTGGTTTTATAGAAAAATTAAGTCTGTGCCAGCAGGCTAAAGGTCAATACTGATAGAACCTGTACTAAAATACGTTTCAAAGCAGGACAACCCCTGCAGAACATATAAGTTTAGCAATGCGCTTAAAATACCAGCTTCTGATGACATGGTATATCAGACTACCAGCATATGGTAATACCTGTTCAATATATTGGTATTCACAATCAATGTGTGGGAGACTGTATTACCCATGAAGGTCATTTAACTGTCATAACAGGTAATTTCTAGACATGTTCACCTTTAGTCCAATAATCAGTTTATGCCTTAGGTGATTTTGTACATTACAAAGAAAATGATGAATAAGGTATAAAATGGTGTGTAAGTCTTTGATCTTATTTTTTCAAATGATTGTATTGAAGCAAAATATACAATAGTAAATCATACATCTGCCAATCCTGAACTGTAGACTAAATCTAACATAATGTACCAGAGCCTTAACTATGAGTAAACTTAAGGTTCTATTCTTCCAGTAATAGGGTATATCTGAAGCCATACATGTTTAAATGCTTCTTTTAATGAGCATATATTATGGCATAATTACTAGTAATTTGAGTTGAAAACTCAGTGATTGTTTAATTAGGAAATATGGGAATCACTTGAATTCACGAAGAACTAACCTTAACCTGATGGTACTGAATGTGATTATTATTTGTCACCTGTATAGTGTCAGCCCTACCTGCCCATCTGTATGTATGTATGAATATATACTAGGCTTAATGAGGGTGTATTCGCCCTTTCAGGCACTGAGAGTACGGACCCCGGACATGTCACCATAAATGTCCTGAAATGTTATTATCTACCAAACTTTTTGGTGACCTATACATTTTGATTTCAGTAATTCACTACATTATACTAAATATGTATGGAAGTTGATTTTTGTGATAAGACCATTATATGCACGTCCCACGTCTGTGCAGTAAGACTAGGCATCATACTGTACTCAGGTCACTTTTTGCATTTTGATATTGTTTGAATAGACTTTTACTAATCAAAAGCAAGTCAAATTGTAACACAATTTCAGAATTAACTGCTCTTCGATAAAAATTAAGATTAGAGCTATGAATTAAAAAAAAGTTATCTTAAAACTCAAGAATTTCAGAAGTTAATTATTTTCAAAAACAAAACAAAAAATTTAATTCTGTAATAAAGCTAATTTAAGGCGGAGGGGAACGTAAATAAAAGCCAGTAACAATTTGAAATTTTGTCTCCAAAATTATTAAACACTTTCAGCCACAGGTGTTTGGCGCCCTGATTGGTCATTACCCAAAGATACATATATATTTAGTAGATATGACTATCTTTATTTTTGTTTTTGTTTTGTCATGGGTAGTAACCTGAACCAACCTGCCGAGACATTTCCATTGTGAAAGCTATATTAAAGTATTCTGCAAGTGTTATGATGTTATTACCTTCATGGAAGTGTTTTCTAGGAAGCACATGCGATTTCCAAATCCTTCTGCGGCAAGACATACTCGGTCGCTGGGGCTGTCTCGTGATGGTGATATCACACAGCTCAGACATACCATGTCATTCTGAAAATAAACACAAGATTCTTATTTAACTTTAATACCAGTAATCACCATTTTAAGTCAGACTAAACTGATCTATAAATGTTTCACACAGCAACTTGCATACCAAAAATGGAGAAAAAATGATAAAAATATGGTAATTTCTTTGACTGAAAGAAGCAATTTTTTCTGTATAAAGTTAATGTAAACAAAGTACTTTTATTGATACCTAGAATTGTAAATCTATGAATTGATGTAACAAATTGTTTTTTAAAAGTAATAGTAGATGGCATTATGCAAGATATAAAATATCTTAAAGAAACTTTACACATCTTTAGAGAACCTAAATTGATATTTGAAGGTTAAATATACATGTAGTAAGGGCTTTTGCAAATTTACAGTTTACTTTTTGACAAAGTTTTATTTCTGTGTTAACATCACATTCCTTTTAGTGTATAGTTAGTGTGCATGCCGCGTCTAATAATAATAGACCTAATTTAGCTTAATACACTCAGGATAGCTGCCTTGACAAACTTAATATTTCTAGCCAGACTTAAAGCCACAGCAGTGATGGGCATAATGACCTGTAACCATCTTCATCTTTTATAGAGGGCATTTAAAATGTCTGAAATAGTATAATTGAGTCTGCCATACTTATAATTTAGCCATTTATGACATTTTATCCTAATTTAACATTTAAAATGACTGGAAAATGTTATAACATATAGAGTTTATATGATCTTTGTGACCGAAAGGGCAACATATCCTAATTGGCTGACAGTGGTAACTCACAGATACAACAGAAGAAAGCCGATAATGTAACATATGAAGTAAAGGTTATTAAGTGAACATAGATTGTTTCACCTACAATGTAGAGGATGATTGTGATGAGAGGTAATTTACTATATGAGTGAACAGAGACAGCTGGTAAAATAATTACATTACATGATGTGTACACAAACACACATATACAAAATATACATCCATTTACAGTTTACTTTCAGCAGAAAATTCTGTATGTTTTGCTTGTTTGTTTTTATGTTGTTTTTTGTTCCTACATTTGTTAATTTATTCATTTAAAACTCAAGTTAACATGATAAAGGTCTAATTAATAAATATTCAGGAAGGAAAAGTAATGATACCCCTTGACAGCCTAAGTTATTGCAATATCAGATATTGAGATCAACTAAAGAAGCAGTGGCCCCCTCTTAACCCATTACTTCATATACACGCCTTTTAACGCCTTTTTCACCCCCCCCCCCCCTTTTTTGTTGTCTCAAATGATGAAAAAATGCCTTATTTAGGCCCCAAACACTTGTTTTTGTTTGAGAAATGTTGTTAAAAAAAGTGACCTCTTTTTCGGCGCGGCCCCCCAACCAAAAGATACATCAGGGGGTTGCCAGAAGGGGGATGTGCCCCCGTTTGGGGGGTTTGAAGGGGGGCGGAGTCCCCCTCATCGCCAAGAAAATTTTGGACTTGTGAGAGGCTGTAAATGACCCCAGATTGATCATAAGGTAACGTGTAACCAACGCTGAAAAGCATTTGACTCTATCTCAATCCATTGAGAAGTTGCAGCACTTTGAAATCAATTTTGATGGAAAAAATCAACGCAAAATAGTGATTTTTGGCAATTTTGAGATGTCCCCTCGTTGCCATGGTAACAGAAAATTTAAGCCTGAGCATGTTGTTGCAAGGGCAATGGTCCAGTCAACATTTGTGCCAAGTTTGATTAGTGTTGAAGCAGTTTTTATAGTATTATAGCAATTTGAACTTGTAACGGGAGACTTTTCAATGAAAACAGCCATTTTTCACAAAATGCTCATGAAGCAATGGGTTAAAGATCATTAGCTTCTAATCACTTGCTTCGTAATACCCTTGGTTTGAATTATGCAAGTTTTGATCTCTACTAGAGCTAAATAAATTGAACAATTTTTTTTAATTGGTCTTATCCCATTTTAAATTTAAGCATAATGTTGGTTTTTTTTTCAAGTGGATAAGTCAAACATAGACACTGGTGTACAGGCTGGAAGAGCTCAGGATAACCAGTGCTCTGATGAACAAATCATTGAAACAGTGTTTATTAAAACTGGTAACTTGGAATTTTACTATGACAAGCAAAGGCTTCTTGAAAATTTCAAATGCAAAATTTCAAAATTGAAATGCATTTTTTTTCTATATAAGTATGTATATGCGTACTTGTTATAAACTTTTGAATTTGTGTTATAATCTGCCAGAATTCATAGTGTTGAAGCATTGTGTTGGAGAATCCAAAGATAACTCTCGTACTGTACTTTCTTCTAGACAAAAGGCAATCATTATTAATTGCTTAATTACCAGTTCTAAACAATACCTGGCAGAGATCTGTAACATATTTCTAATGAATGCAGAAAGTAATTAGGCTTACAGTAAAGCAAAGGAATGTACCTTTGCTTGAAAAAAATAGTTAGTTCAAAGCTATAGACAATAGTTAGTGTTTCTTTAATGTTTACCTAAACATGATCAGCCTTTAATGCCACCTGATATTGAGCTGGCCAGCCTACTTACATCAGACCAAATCCGACCAGACTTTTTTTTATTCTGTAACTATTTTGTTGCTTTTTTTTCATATTGAAATCCCTTAAACTCTGAATGGACTGCTCCAATTTTAAAGCAAGGACAGTCCATTACACAAATTCAGGAGGATATATTATAAATAAGGGCTTTTTAAATAGCTGAATTTCATTATCAAAAGGATAAGATCATTATATATTTATCAAAAAGTCATGAATTTTACTATTATTTTACATGTTATGTATATCAATGACAACTCAAATATACCTAGAATTATATCTCCATTTTTAGTTAAAGAATCCATCATTATCATATGATGATATATATCACCATGGCTTTATAAATATTTGAAGAAACAGTATTGTTAGGTAAACCTGACATAATGATCAATATCTTGATTGACAGATTTTTATTACAAGGTGATGTGCAAATCGTTTACCCTAATACAGCTTAAATACCAGTATATTTAATTAAGCTGAACTAATGTCCATCTTTATTTCTTTTCAAAAAAACTTTACATTTTTTTAAAGAAAATTTCTTTAAAAAATGCTGACAGAATAGCGAACACTCAGTTCAATGAAAATAAAATTAAACAACATGAAAATAGCATATTCTTTTAACAATATAAGGTTGTGAGAATTAATTTCATGTTAATTTTTGTATGGCTAATAGCCTATATTATCATAACATTTTGACCAAAGCAACTATTTATAACCAATCTCAATACCAAGGGGCATAATTTCTTCAAACCATTCATGTACTCATATATAAAACTGAATTCAATTTTCTATTCTAATTATCTTGGGAAATTGATTACCATGACAACTGGAACAAGTTTAACCTGTAAAACAGGCAACATGCTCCCATATTTTGTGTATAGAACTTGTAAACAAATGTAGACTTCTATCAATAATTTACAGTACAGAGTGTTTTAATTGTTACGTAAATGCATGTCAGAAACTTCTGAGAGATCCAATATGACTTCCTAGCTATAATTCCTTATAGCTGGAGATAATGATATTCAAAAATTTCAACTATTGGAAACAAGTTGCCTATCAGACAAGAATGCAGAAATGATAAGATATTAAACAGACTCATTCTGGGTTCTATATAAGACAGACTTGTATTAGACAACTGCTTATTTTAGTGTTGTTTTTTCTTCTTCTTTTTTTTCACATCAGCAGTTTTTTTCTGACAGTATTAAAAAGCTATGTAGTAAAGATGTTAAGTTACTGTTAACATTTTCGATTAAATGCCAGTCAACATCTTCCTCATAAATCACTGGTTTAGGACAAATGGTCAATTAAGGTAAATGATACAAATTGAAAAGGTTATCTCAGAGCACATGCTGAACTGTTAATTATCATTCAATATCTAATTAATTAAATGATCTAGACAAATTTGTAGGGTCCTCAGAATTTATCATACTGTCAATCTATCTTATAATTAAGGTGTCTGTGCAGAAGCCAACTTATAAATATATCTTTCTTGAAGATATACTTGGAAATTTTAGAGTTAAGTAACATTTCTTGAAAAAGAAAATATTTCTTTTAAAAACAGCATGCAGTTACAATCTCAATGATTCATTTTAGTCTATAATCTAGAGTTTTTATTTTTATCTCTGACTCATGCAAGGTTCGAACATCTGCCAAAAAATTATATTCATCATTTATCAGAGTTTTCTTAGCTTTTTAAACCATACTGCATCATAAGCACAATGAAATGAAAAATTCCCGGAACTGGAAAAATGTTCATTTCTTTATTGGCTGATTAATTTGTATTTTGCTGAGTATTGTAAATTAAATGTTTGCTGTAGAGTGTTAGTAGTATAATTATATAAAAGCATCATTCAAAAGAGTTATAGAAATGAAAAACCATGATATAAACCTTAACTTAACAGGCTAGATTTTATACCTGTTTGTTATAGACTTCTTCTGTGTTGTTTAAAACCTATGTTGACAATAATGTTACCTTTTCATGAAAAATAATATTATATTGTAGCTTTAAAATATAACTTACACATCTGACGGTTTCACCTCCTTCTGATTCTATTTCATCCTCGCCTTTCATACGTCCCATGTTTGTACTTTATTTATTATCCTTATCTCTGTTATTTATATTCAGAAAATAAAACCACTTAAAAACCAATCTTTTTCACTTTCATTTGCCTTGAAATTATAACTCCAAACTCATCTGATAATTCACTTGAACTTTTCCATCAAACACACTAATAAATTTCCACAATAATGCCTCAAATCTAATCCTATAGGATATGAACAAAAAAATATTTCAATCTCAAAATTTCCAAAATATTGCAAGGAAAATGGAATTCAGCTGAAATCAATTCTTATTTAATACATGTTTTTTTTATTACTCTTTTTATGAAAAATTTATAACTTTCCATTCATGACATAAAAAAATAAACTCAAAAAACACTATCACACGAAAGACATGAAATTGCTTGGTTTAGAAGT